GAATATAACATTATTTATATTTTTAGATTGTTGATCCAGATATGAAGTTACTTAACATCAATCCAAGATATCCAGGTGCACGAAACGACTCTTACATCTGGAGCACATCACCTATTCGTCGTGCCATGGAATTTCATTTCAACAGAGGGGAACGGAGAACTTGGCTAATCGGTGAGTCTCCTTGAATGCAAATACTTGCACTTTGAAGTACTTTACTACATAAACTAAAATATTGTTTTAAATTATATACATCTCATACATATTTTTATGAAATACCAAATATTGATTTAACGTTTCTTTTTAACAGATTTTAATATTTCCAAGGTTTTTATTTTACTTAAATACTACCTTTTTATTAGATTGTTTATTAGACCACCATTTATTTGTTTTAAGATTTTTTAATAGGTTGCTAATAAGACAACATCAACAGTACGGACAAAGAAAATCTGCTTACAAATAATTTCTTCGGTAACAACAAAATTCATTATTTAGAAATTTGTAAGCTAATTTTCTTTGTCCGTTTTGCTGATGTTGTCTAGTCATGATTTATTCAGTGTATTTGTAACAATATCAATATTTCTTACTAGGTGATGCCGGATATCCATTGGAACCATGGCTCATGACACCCTTAAATGATTTTCCCGAAGGTACCCAACAGTTCCAATACACACAACAGCTTTGTAAGGCGAGAAACGTTGTTGAACGTTTCTTTGGTGTCTTCAAAGCCGTATGGAGATGCCTTTCCTATCAGCGTGTGTTAATGTATGAACCAGCATTTGCTGCCAGGATAGTAAATGCATGTGCAGTACTTCACAACATGAGAATTCAACATCGTTTACGTTTTGAGGATGTCCAAGAACCGATAGCTGAAGATCGTCATCATAATGAAAATGCTGATCTCATGAATGTCCGTGAAGAGGTAGTTCACAGAGGACCACGCGCTTTGGCGCAGAGAATTCAACGACAAATGATGCGAGAGAGATTTCCTAATTACCGTGATGCAGAAGGTGAAGAACGTGCTCCAGATGAATGAAAGCGATTGATTGCATTATTACAGCATATATTTAATATATTATCTCCAAATGTATGAATTCAGGATAATATAATAAAGTATAAAAAAATTTATTTTTTTTATATTACATGAGTACACATTTTTAAATTAAACTCCATTATATGCAATATTAGTACTTTCAACATTTGTATATACTTTTGACAGAGTAAACAAACAATATAATACTGTGCTGCTGTAAAACTAAAAAAAACAATAACTGAATGCTATTACGAAACTTAATCTTTGTTGACAAGAGTACGTACGTATTAATACTGTAAAAGAAACTTAATTTTTAGTACGTAGAAAATAAATACCATTATTACAGAATGACGAAGCAGCATTTGAACGCTTAAAATCTATTATTATTCTTAAAACTTAAAACTTTGGCACATGTTATAACATTTACTTAAACTTAAAACAAAATATCACGATAATATTTTAGTTATTTCTGTTTTAAAATTTCTATGCAGTCTTTGACGATCACAGTAAAGTCCGAAGTTTGTTCTCGAGCCTTTTCAATTTCAAGCAAAGCACGCTGAATTATATTCTGTTCTTGATTAGTTTCTACTAGTTTTTCCGTCGCTTTAGCGAACATCTGTACAAGAAAACCAAAACAATACGTTCAAAGCATTTAGTTTACTATTATTTACTATTATTGTTTTATTTAAAAAATTTGTAATTCAAGAGGTACATAATAGATCCTACCTCCATACATGTAACTTGACGCTCGGCTAATGTGGCGAAATCTACCCTTGCATTTTGTAATTGCACGCTCAACCTTTCATTGCCTTAAAAATAAAGAGAATTTTGCAATCGTTAAATGTTTTAGCTCTTATACCTTATATCTTGTTATAAGAAAATGAGTATTTATAAAGATGCTCACTCCGCCGTGTAACTTTAGCTTTATGTATTTTAGTAATAGCTTGTAAAACTGTCGCGTATGACTCTTTTTCCTGTGACTGTCCTGTCTGTGCTTCTCCAGATTGTGATATTCCCACTGATAATCCTCTTTGTGATTGTATCGTCCGCAAATTCTCTATCTCTGAAGATGATGCTTCAGAAATATTAATCTCACTTTCTGTTCCATCTATAGTAGCTAGTATTTCATAATCTAAAATAAAACAATGTATGCAATGCTGCAATTATTTCCAGAACAGTACTGATTAATATCTCTATATGTATAATAATTCACGGTAATATACACAATATTTACAGTATGTTAAATAAAATATAGTCACCAGTAAGATTGATTGTAGTACTCGTATTGTCGTTAGTGTTTCGTGTTGTTATTGTATCCGGAACAGTCTCTAAAATCTCCTCTTGTCCTTGATGAAGCAATTCCATCACTTCTGGCTGAAATCGATATTCAAGAAGCAAACAATGTTCATTCTACATTATTAAGATTGTTACTGTTTTTATATGTAACAATTTTTCATTACCTGTTCCTCTGGAAAAGCATCAGGACATTGTACTCCTTCCACGTAATCAAATCCCATAATTCCTAATATCTTCTGTTCTCGCTCAGTCAATGTCATAGGACAACCAACATTTCCTGTTGTTGCTTTATTAGCTCGCATTTTTGCAACTTTTTGCGAGACAGCAGTTTTGTTGTCTCGCCATGTCTACAAGAAATTTTCAGATAATTATTTTTAAAGTGTTATAGTTCCTCACACACAATTTTTTCAATAAAAAATTGACTTTACTCACTGATTTCCATGACTTTACATCCTTAATTTTTCCGTCTTTGGCCATTTTGTTCAAGTCTTGTATTAGTTGGTCCCAAGATCCTCTTAAATCTGCGTTTCCATGCAGACTTTTAAATTTGCCTGTTGCAACATGGGGATGTTGTATAAAATAGTCAACCATGTAATCGATTTGTGCTGACGTTGCCTTAGGTTGTCTTTTTTTAATCCCCGTTTTGTCTTTCCTGGAAAAAATGGTGTTTGTTTTTAATGGAGATGTCATAGTCATGGACATAAGATAAGGCAGAGAATGATAAATATAAGGGCACAAGATTTTGGCTGATGGCAGAGAACTATATGTAAGTATTTACGACTGTCGCATTCGTAGACGTAAGGTAAGACAGAGAAAAACTTAAATGAAAGTCTAGTGTATATACGACTTAAGTTTTTCTTTGCCTTAGGGCCTGAGCAGAATGGCTGTCTTATACTCTTACGACAGCCCTGAGACAATGTTTTATGTTTTAAGCCTTTGTCTTGAGGTAACGCATAATAACTGTCTTATGTCTGAAAACTGGAAGACAGCCATTCTGCTCAGGCCCTTACTTTATGACTACGACAGTCTTAAGCGTTTCCAGATAGTTCTCTGCCATCAGCTTTTCCATAAGGATCAGAGCACAAAGTAACGTAATAACTTACAACAAAGACGCAAGCGTAAACGTAGATAGTGCACAAGCTTTGACATATGTCGTACTTGTCTCCAATTACATATGACTTTACTTTTACGCCAAAGCTCTTTGTCGTAAACTATTACGTTGCTTTGTGCTCTGACCCTTAGGGCCATCGCACACAAAATTGCATAGCTGCATATGCATAGCATAAGACCATCTGGACCAATGAGCATGTTATGCAAATCAATATGACGATTCAATGCTCGATGCTCATTGGTTTAGACGGTTCTTATGTTATGCATATGCAGCTATGCAACTTTGTGTGCGATAGTCCTAACCCTAACGCGTTGCGTTACGTTAAGTACATAATCTTCAAAACATACATAATCTTAAACTTCAACGCATAAGAAAAACCGTAACGTAACAGAATTCTGTTATTACGTTATGGTTTTCCTTGTGTGTTGATTGAAGGTTAAGATTACATATGTTTAAGATTACGTTTAGTACTTAATGGAAAGCTTCAATACTTACTGTGATGCCATTGCAGCTGCACGTACTTCTACTTCTAATAACTGTTAACGGTATATCCACGAGGTCCACGATTCAAAGGCCAGTTTCACAAATATCGGTTAACTGCTAACCGAAGGTTAATCGATTCTCCGTCTCTTCTTAAATAATAAGATAGAAAAAACAGGGAGTCGACTGAACTCTGGTTAAAGGTTAACCGACGTTT